GGGGGGGGAGGGGGTTGAACCCCCCTTTGGTATTCTTTATGTGTGTATTTCTGAGGACCCCCCCCCCCTTTTGGTATTTAAAAAAAAAAATTATACCAATGGCTGACCTAAAAAAGTTGACCTCCCCCCCCCCCCCAACGGAGCAAAATGTCAAATTTTCAAAAATTTTGAGACAAAAAAAAAAAAAAAAAAAAATCATCTTACCCCCCCCCCCCCGCTATTCAGTGGCTGGCTGAGTCGTTGCGAAATTTTCGACCCGATTCAGAAATGTTAACCCCCCCCCCCCCCCCTTGAAAAAATCCTGCGTACGCGCCTGCCTTCAACCAACCTTGATCAAGAGAAAAAAGTGAACTCTTTGAATAAACTCGGAAATGACTTGCAAAGCGGAAGCTCGAAAGAACCAGAAACAGAGTTATTGGTCAACGTGGATTGATTATCGAAGAACGGATATTTACATAAGCTAAAATCACTATGAACATGGCGGACAAAGAAAGAGGACAAAATATACAGTTCCTCAGGTAGAAAAGGAACATCCCTTCACTGCTATTATGTAAACATGTATAGAACAGGTGAATATGCATGTGACACCTGTTCTACACATTTTTACATAACAGCTGTGAAGGGATTTCCTTTGTTTACCTGAGAAACTGTATATTTTGTCCTCTTTCTTTGTCCGTCATATTCATAGTGAATGTTGGATAAATATTTGTGTTGGTTTATACGTACTGTATTCAGTGGTAAGTCGTCCTATTCCACTAAAATCCACCACGATACCAGGATATGGCCAGTGGTATACAGGATGACCAACAATATTATGTATCGCCATTGTTTTGAAAAGTATTTGGGTTTGTCATCGCACGTCAATTTTTTTTTTTTTACTGCAAACTACTTTAATAAACATTCGCTCCCAACATGTTGGAATGGTATATAATAGCCTCATGACAGTGCGACATGAAATGATCTTGGTTGTCATTTTGAAAAGAGAAGTTCCATCCATGGAATGTTGCACCGTTTCTCTACCCTCCCCTCCCCTTTCTCTCTCTCTCTCTCTCTCTCTCTCTCTCTCTCTCTTTTCATATATACAAATACAATGAATATATATCTATACACACATACTAGCACACACTCACACCCACAAACATATATATATATTATATATATTATATATATTATACGTAAAGAATCGAAGGATATATCATAAGAGAAAGTACACTGCACTTAAAACTGATTCATTTTTGTCAAACAAAAGGTGAATTCTGGTGAATCAATGGTTTTGATTTCGGATCTTTATGTTAACCTTGCGGTAAGAAAGCAGTGTACACGAAATCACGGTCACTGAACACACTGGACAAATATATGCTGGTTTTCTTCTGTAATGCAAATCTTATTGGTTCTTCATGCTATTGTTCCGAGTGTTAGAGTTTGGTGGAGTCACGCATTCCCGCCGTTCATCATAACCATGAATTGTGAATTCAGCCATGGAATTTCGAACGATTTCTTTAGATGTGCGTTATTGGCACTATTTCAGTGACACCATCTAAAAATCTCTCTCACTTTGTGAGTGTGTAGAATTGAGCTCCATCATTTTGTATTTGTATTTGTATTTATTAACATTTATTTCCTTCTCAACGGTACAATATGAAACACAATGTATATATAAATTATATATGTAACAATGATTTCAACATAGAGTATACAGTGAATAATTGAGATAACAGAAGGAGGCGAAAACCCGACTAAAGCATAGCTTGAGTTGGGAACGCCCATGATAAGTTACTGAGAGAAAATTATAGATATTATTATGAAAATTACGTATTTTATAACAGAACGTTGATAGGAATAAATGGATGAAAAACTGAGAAGAGAATTAAGTATAGGAAGGCATGTTCACTTATAGAGAGGAAGTTAACTCAATTACATATTCCGAATCCGAGCCCTCCTGTGCTGTCCTGGGCTCTGCATGTGTTTACGATTGCATCATAAAGTCTAAAATAGACAGCCCGTACATTCATTAAAAACAAGCAAAATCAACAAACAAACAGCAGCTTCATCCGACAACATTGTCATGGGGAAGATACAGATCGTACCTAGCAACAGCTAAGGCGTGTACGTAAGTGATCAAAAAAAAAATCGGTCATATAACATGTTATTGAATTCTACAAGAAGTCACTTGCACACATAAATACAAGAACATGTATTAATATCGAGCAATTAAATACATTTTTGGCTTACGGGAAAAAGTCTGCAAGGAGAGCTACTTCTGTATCAAATTGAAATCTTCGGGTCTAGGAGATGAATGTTGGCAGCGCTTCTCGTATTATATGTATGGGTTTCAGAGTTGCATTGAAAATGATAAGATCACTAAATTGTGATAGGAAGATGTTGTTTATGCTTTTATACATGAACATGCCCTGTTGATGCAAGTTGATATCACTGAATCTCAAACAAATAATTTGTTACAGACGGGACCAGTATGGGAGCGATAGTGCGTTCCGGATATTATACGAATCCTCTTCTTCTGCAATAGTGTAAGCTTTTGAATTTTGTACTTGCAGGAATTCGCACAAACAAGATTACAGTAAGACAAATATGGAAGTATAAGAGCACAATATAACATACGTAGAATGTGATTGCGCAAAAGATGTTTGCGTCTGGCTATAATGTCAATGTTTTTGGACACCTTACTTTCAACTTCGTGAATATGGTATTTCCAAGACTAGGAACTATCTAAATAAACGCCGAGAAATTTAACTTTATCTACCTTTGGCAATATGATCTTATCAAGAATAATATTGAAATCATTGAAATCTGCATTCTTTCTATAATTGTGAAAAATCATATAATTACATTTCTTTACATTTACAGATAATTTATTAGATGTGAACCATTCACATATATATGCAAGACCTGCATTTACTGTATCCATAAGAGAAATATATATGTGTCGTCTGCATACAGTATAAAAGCTAATTAATTAGCAGATTTATAACTATCATTCACATATAATATAGATAACAGTGGCCCAGGAAGCATGTTATACTGTCCTAAACTCCGAAATAGAAGATTGATACTTACATGGTAATCGAATGTTAAGATAGCTTGTGAACCATTTATGAGCTACACCACGTTTTCCATAACGATATAGTTAAGATAGTAAAATATATCTATAAAAACTCAAATTGCAAAATTAATTTGCTTCAAAGGCGTCTATGACATTATTAAAAAGACTGGTAAGAGCCATACATGTTGAATAATTCCTACGGAAACAATATTGATGTTTATTGAGAATAGAATGTCTGTCAAGGAATTCAATAGTTCTTTTATAAACAATACGCTCGAATAATTAAGAGAAGACTGACAGTACAGGAATAGGCTCATAGTTTTTAAATTCACGATTGTCACCAAATTTAAAGACTGGTGTTACTTTAGCTTTCTTTAGCTCATCTGGAAATACTCTTTCTAACAATGAAAGGTTGAATATATGGCATAGTTGTCTTCTTTATTGTTTCCAAAAGTACTAATGTTACAAATTTCGTTTTCCCTAGTAGGATATAACTACAAAGAGTCAACAGGTGGATCATTTATATACTGTAAATAATTCGTTTGGGTACCTGGATTTTATTTGCTAAAGATGGATCTATTCTTGCGAAGAAGTAAAAGGAGTTCGAAGGGGTTCTGTAGCGATGTGCCCGTTATAATTACATTAGATTTATTAAGTACAAATTTGTCATGGAAATACTGAGATTTTGCTTTACAAGTTAATCCTGTGAGTAGGTTACGATAATTTGTATACGCAGAAGCATTTTGGTCTGATGGGCTACGTAAACAAATTTTGTATAATTTATTCTTATGTTGGTTCGACTGTTACAGTTCATTCGTTATCCAACATTTTAATTTCTTTCTTTTTTCTTCAAATACAATTGGAAAATGCTATCATACAAGGCACAGAATATATTTAAAAAAATATTATTATAACTATAGTTTGGATCTTCTGCAGCATATACATCCCTCCAGTCGACTTCTTGCAAATCCCTAATTAATTAAGGCCTCAATATTTCTCTGATTTATAATTCTGTGATCGATGTTTACTTTCGATGATTTTACATTGGAACATTAAACTTTGAAATGGAAAAGACGGGCAAGTGATCAGATACATCACAATACAATAGACCAGTATCATGAGATGAAAGTAAGTTATTTGTAAGTATTATCTATGAAAGTGGCAGATGACTTCGTAATTCGTGTAGGTTTTTCGATAATGCCGTAATGAGACAGTGTTGAACATAAAAGTAAATCCAACCCCCCCCCCCCCCCCCTCCAAAAAAAAAAGGTCGAAAAGAACGCAGAAAATCAGAGAAAACAGACAGGTGAAAGTTTGAACGAAATCGCACAAAAGATAAGAAATTAATGAATTTTTTGAAAATTGTAAACACTATATGTATGGAAAATTCAAATTGGCTGAATCGGTCATGTCATTGTGATGTAGGGGCGAACAATTCCCTCATTTGTTCCAACACACGAAATGACTAAAATTACAACAACAAAACATCTAAATGAATGACTCGGGAGTCTCTTTTCTTTTTAGAGGAAATGTAATGAATTATTATCCATAATATACTTTGAGTAGTGAGCCAAGGAAGTAGACACTAGACACTTAGAGGAAAAACATAAATTAGTGATATTTTTACACGACGACAAACGGGAAAGTTGTTCGTGACTCCCATAGCTATAGTGATCTCATATGTCCAACATTCATAAATCTCTTATTATTGTTCCGATTTATTTCAAACTTTCGTCATTTCGTCTCTCTTATTTTTTTGCTGCTTTCATACAAATGAACTTATTACTAAGGTTGGATTGCCCTTTAATACACAATTTTATTTTCTGCTTTCATACAAATGAATTTACTTCCCACTTCGCTATAGCTCACTGTACCAATACCCCCCCCTTCGTGCCCCATTTAATACACTGTTTTATTCTATTTTCTTCCTTCCTTATAGCTGCCTGTATCAACGGTGACCTTCAATGCCCCATCAGCAAAGCGTGTTACCCCCCTCAAGCAGTATGTGACTCTTATGACGATTGTGGTACTGGTTTCGATGAAATCGAATGCCTAGAATTAGGTAAGTTTACTATTGCATCCAAATGTCAAAATTTGTATATGATCTGCGGATTCATTAAATGTTTTTTGAAGTGTATGACTAGGAAATGTCAGACAGCAAATTGCATTCACATATATTTTGTTCAATTGCTTGCCATTATCGTATACGCAGTCGGAAAGAAAAGTTTGTAATTTTGTCTAAATACTACAGTAGCAATATATCATTATCCATAATACAATGAAAGCACGAAGCATTCACTTATTTCGATGTCATTATTCATTATTCTTTGCTCGTAATGTCTAAACCTTATCCGATGATTTCTTATTGAAAGACTCCAAGTCTAACTTCAATCACTGACATTTCTGCCGTGCTTTTGATTTTCCAACGTAAAAATAGTAAACGCAATCTCTTGCACCACATTATAGAGCCTTTTCTTTTCAATGTAGGAATGGTATTGTTGAAATCAAAAGCAGTATTGTGATGAAATTCACATGTGCTTGTTACGATTTTGCCAAAATAAATTGCTTCAATGTTGATGGCTTAATTATTTGTGTTACTATGCTCATGATTTACGGATATGTTTACCTGGATTCGTTTACACAACCAAAGTGTGCACTACCTCCACTCCTTTGCGAGTGTTCCTACCATAATTGTAGTAAAAGAGATTGCATATGTCATATTATAGAGCTAGGATGGAATTGATTTGATCAGGAACGACATTGTGTGAAATTCATTTTATCTAGTTAAGGGTATGGCAGGTTAAATTGCTTCAATGTTGATCAGGGTTACCAAGGTAATGAGATAGTGGAATGAAAAATCCATTTCCTGACCCTGATCGGATCGCCATAACCACCACGTTCATTAGTGTTTGTTAACCTCAACATGAGACAGAGCGAAGTAAGGGAGTGAGTTGCAATTAAGCTTTTCATTTTAAAAGAAAGTGCAGGCCTGTAAATACACGTCGCATAGAGCAGAAGCCAGGATGGAACTGTGAATTGCCAGCCGAAGAGAAGTTTATGATATGATTATTACATGCACCCTAGAAGCATTAGAAACATAAATGGCATTTTCTTTTCTTTAGAATAGTACAAGTATAGTAAACTGTATAGTCACTTAACCTACACCACATATTCTGATTGTTTTCCAATCGGCTTATTGGATTGGTCGATTAAAATAATGACAACAAATAATAAATCATAAATAATTTCCTCTTAATTCCACCAGGGTAGTCTTGCTAATAATAGTTAATATTAATACCAATTTTTCTGCGAGTCCCACAATTATTATTAGTCAAACAATTGCCAGGTAACCTGGGTGGAGAGTGGCAAAATTAATGTGGATAGACGTTAGTGCCTGACTGGGATTCGAACCCTTAAAGGGATAGTTGAGTTCTGTTTTCAGACCGCAAATACCTTCAAAGTGCATGGTTATTACTCTCATTCTTATCTATGACATTTCTAGTGCCCTTTTAGAATATAAAATTACTATGAAGGTAATTTTAGACCTTAAAATGTGTAAAATAAGTTAGCCAATACAATAATACGAATTCAGCTCCACTTTCGAAAAAATACGGTGACCGTTAATTACTTCATTAATTAATAATAACAATACATGGGGCCGGTTGGTTGTGCGTAATATAACCAACACGAAAAAGCCAACATCGGCATTGGCTGAAATATAACGTAAACGGCGCTATTTCGTTTTTTCAACGGCTTTTTCAAATTATCGAATATTTGTGGTGGTACACAAATATTAGAAATCGTTATATTTATGGATATTTTAGCCGTCTCTGAACCGACTTGTATCAAACAAAGATGATTTTGTCATTTAAATTGTATGTTCTTTCAAATTTAACACTAATTTTTTCAATATCCCACAAAAAAGTATTTTGTATAGCGCCCTCTGCAACAGAACTCAACTATCGCTTCTAATCCTTGTATAGAGAGTCAAATGAATGAACAACTATACAACGTCACCCCAAGATGTTTCTGTGATATGTCTGGTTTTGTTGTCATTTCTATTCTCACCTCAATAGATGAATGCAATGAAACAATATATGCCCCGTTTGATAGCGACTGCAGTGCCGAAAGGAGTAACGGGACTTTCGATTCAAGGGGCCTAGACTTCAGTTTCAACGGGGAGTTTTTCTTCGGCATACCACCCTTTGAATCCGAGTCTCCAGTTTGGATTGACAGAGTAAGTTGAAACGAAATGAACAACACATGTATGCTGTGATCTAGTAAAGGGGCGGACTCATGACTTTGTAAACAGAAGGGGGGGGGGGGCATAGTTCTGAAAAAAGCTATAACATGCAAACAAGTAAGGGGGACATCGCATTTGTTGGTGAAACAAACAACATTGCCAAGCACATAATTAAAAATGATTTTGTTTTTCTCCACCTTTTCAGTCGAATTTCAGTCGATTTCAGTCGAATATTTTCATCGAAGGGGAGGGGGTTGGGTACTTGTTTTCTTTCGTGTATACCTGATGTATGCCACATGAATTTTAAAATAAGGGGCAAGAGCCGATTTTGCCTCCCTATTCCCCACTGATATATTGGACATGTCACATATGAAGTCCTACTTTGTAACTGTTGCAGACCTCTAGTCTAGCAAAACGCCGAATTGCATCACACACCTGGAAAGGAATACTGATATCATTTTTTTTGTCAATGATACCCGGAGAAAATAGAGTAAAAGAAGACTGAACAAAGCAAACAAATTCTGACGATTAATGTTTTTATATGATTTGAAAAGAAAATGCAGTATCTGGCTATTCATTGATATAAAAAAAAGCATTAAGCAACACACCCTGACTATAACAATATTTAAGTAGATAAGGGAAGAGATACTTTTAAGGTTGTTATAGAACCCCATATTTTAGAGCGCCAAGAGTGTGAAGTCTGAACAGAAATGAGAGTCAAACAGGAGCCCACTATTCATATTTTACGTTATTATCACAATGATGATGATGATAATTGTAAGTATATTCTTATTAATAGTAGTATCATTACTATTATTATTGTTGCTACTTTTACCGTTATTACTGTCATCATTAATATTACTATTATTAATTTTATTATTATCATCATTATCATCAATATTGTCATTATCATTAAAATGTTATTAATATCATTTATTTTTATTAACATAATGATGATTACTTTTATTTGTATCTTTTTTGTTTTCTGTTCCATCATTATGATTATATTTTACGTTGTTGTTCTATTTCTTCTAGGTGTATCTTAATTGGGGAAGGAACCGAAGCCCTGGCCATCTACCATTTTGACAGAACAAGGATTTTTCATGCTAAGGATATCATCCATCTCTGCCGTCGGTAATGTCACCGATTTAACAGTTGTTCCACTCCAACTGACAGCAAATGTAAGAACGAGTTGTATATCATTTTATAGTGTTTAATGATAAAGAGTCACTTGATTTGCGTTAAGTTGAATATTAAATTAAAAAATGGAGTCAACATTTATCCTAATGTTTTGTCGATATTGGAATGAATTATGCATTATATTATAAAACAAGATCCCATCATGGATCATGGATAATAATTATGAATAATAATGATAATGATGGTGATGGTGGTGGTGATGAGGATGATAATAAGAATGAATGATATGAATATCCTCTAGTCATCCGTTTCAATCTCTTCTCTTGATTCTCTTTCTTTTCTTTGATCATATCCTTGATTATTTATTGTGAATTTCCATTTATATTTCATATCCTTGATTATTTATACTACGTCGAGCGTACGCTACCCTACGCAGGCCTACGTAACTGTACGCGGAGGGACGCAAATGGGTACGCGAGATGGGCGCAAAAGATTAAATTTTTTTCGCGTACCTTCGGCGTAGAGACTATACGCAGAAAGTACGCCATTTGTACACAAGTCTACGCAACACTACGCTACTGTACGCCAAACCTACGCAACAGTACGCTACCCTACGCCAGTCAGACGAAGCAGTAAAAGCTTGCTGTGTACGCAACCGTGAGCAAACCTGTACGCCAGGCCTACGTAACCGTACGCCAGCCTACGCGTAACCTACGCAGGGAATACGCCGAAGCAACATTTTCTTTCATGAATACGCAGCCTAAAGCCATTTTCACACCGGATCTGCGTAGAGTTGCGTAGTGTTGCGTACCGACTACGCCGAAGTTAAGCTGCGTACTCATGAATAAATTGATGCTTCGGCGTAGTCCCTGCGTAGGTTATGCGTAGGCTTGCGTACGATGGCGTATAGTTACGTACCCTGTGCGTAGGCACCGCGTACCTACGGTGTAGGCAATTGGCGTAGGGTTACGTACGCTTGCGTAGGCCTGGCGTAGGGTTGCTTACGGTGCGTACGGTTGCTTACTGTGTGCGAAAATGCCATGTAAAAATGCAATAGACGCTCGTAGGAGCCGCGAGTATGGCCATTGACGCTTTATAAACATATATAAAAAAAAATATGTTAAAAAGACAGTTCAATGTATTGTATAAATGAACTGTGCAGTGTACAAAGAATTGTACATGTTATTACATGTGAACATAACTTGATCTAAGTATAATAATAACATTCTGACAAACTGTGACATCCAAGGGGCAGTGGGTCTCTTTTGCATGCGTGAAATAGGGCTGAAACGCCAATTTGCGTAAAATAGTGAGTGCAGAAAATAACATTTATAAACCTGCCATAAGTTTTAATAGTAAAAAGTGACATTTGGTACACGTTTTTGACCGTTAAATTTTCAGTTTTTTAGTAGGTATTAGCAACTGCTGAGGTTATTTTGCAGTAATGTTAATTTGTTCAAGATTTTATTTTCCCAAAAATGCAGACATTTTTGTTGATGTACTACGTTATTGTACAATGTATTATTCAAAAGGGTAATATATGAACTTTCTTTTGATGAACATTGCAAGGTCACGTGATGTGATTTGATACCTCAAAACGCCAACAAAAGAGAACTCTTATTTTGATTTTGATTTTGTTAACCATATCCCTTTCTTTCACTCATTTGTAAAATATCATTCCATAACAGTTTCCTGAAAGTTTGAAGACGATATCTGTTGTCCTTGGTCCGTAGCGTATTTGTGTGTGAAAATGTAATGATATAAATGTTAATCATTTATTAGATTTAAAGAAATACTTCTGACATACACACTCACTCAGTCTCACTAACAGAGTGAGACAAAATTATTTCTTTGCTCATTTCAATTAAACAAAATTATATTACAAACATACAAACAGGACCACAAACGTATACACAAGCAAACAAACCGACACAATACATACAGATTTCCACAAAACATAATAAAATTTTCGCATGAGGCATCAGTTTATGAATCTTATCTCTGTTTATTATATCAACGGCCTGAGATGTCAATTATCGCAAATTGAATAAACCATAACAAAAAAAAACATGTCAGTCTGAAATACCTTGTAGTAGTACAAACAGAATTACAAGCAAGAATGATCAATGATCAATACCTGCCAAGTTTACATCCAGGTATATTCAACAAAAAAAATCTTTATACCATACGTTTTTAATGCTCCGTCGGACTGGCGTAGGGTAGCGTATTGTTACGTAGGCTTGGCGTACAGTTGCGTAGGCTTGGCGTACAGTTGCGTAGTAAAGTCTACGTCGAAGGCACGCGACAAAAATTAAACATGTTTAATTTTTTGCGTTCATCTCGCGTACCCATTCGCGTCCCTCCGCGTACAGTTGCGTAGGGTTGCGTACGATCGCGTAGTCGGTACGCCATAGTACGCAACTCTACGCGGATCCGGTGTGAAAGGGGCTTTAAGAGTGCATGGTGGAATGTCCACTGCGGGATGTTATGACCAGTAAGAAAGAGAATACCGAAAAATAGAAGGCACGATGAAACTAGATGATCCAATCCAATAGTGCACTACATGTACAATATACAATCTAGCATTTCAGTACGCTGCAGTGAAAATAATGATAACTAATTTGGAAATTACAACCCTTGAAATGCATCACTTCTTACACACTGGTTTTAGATCGCGAATGTGAAGAGAACTCTGAAGGATTAATTTATATAGATTTGTTATCTATAAAACATCAGAGCCGCCACTAAATGTGTTTAAATGCTACATTACTTGAACTTTTACTTATCCCTATCCGTAGAGCTATACTAATACTTATCCTTACCCTTATCTTTTATTTATAATTTCCACATACTTATACTGACGGTTATTTATACTTATACTTACATAACAGGAATCTCTTAGTGAAGTTGTGAAGAAGCTACGTGAGCCCTTGGAAATTGACCAATCTGGAATTGGCAGCATACAGGTCAATCTCAGTTTCGTGAGGGATGCAGAACCAAGCGATGAATCTCCTTATACTGCTCCCGAGTTCCTCGAATTTGGCACTGTAGAAGTAGAATTCGTCAGGTAACACAAACAAGACTCAAAACAGAACAGAAACTCTGATGACATGTATATAGGTATAGGGAAATGTACATGTACAGGGCGGCGGGGACACCATCAAATAGGCCCAGGAAATTGTTATTCGGTTGAACAATTTCCAGTGAGCCTTGGCCGCAATTTATCCACTTCGGAATTATGTTCTACTTAGAAGATCAGCTTTGCACTGACATTATAACGTACTCGTTCATTGTATTAAAACAAAAAGAACGCCACCAGAAGTTTTCTGCACCAGGGAATCTGTACTATTAAGTGATTATTTGAATGAAATTTTAAATATGAGTGGGAGTGTCGTGGTCGAGTGGTTTAAGGCGTTTGACTGTAGATGCGAAGTTCGAGGGTTCAAATCCCGACACGGCACTAATATCCTTTGGCAAGATATTTACCTGCATTTGCTACTCTCCACCCAGGTGTTAAATGGGTACCCGGTAGGATGCGAACGTTCATGTGGTTGGACGAGCAAGTGTGCGCTTGTAAAATGGCGACTGGCTGGAATGCTCCCCAGGGAGTGGAAAATGTGCACACATTGTGTGCGGGTAAGCCTGAATCCGATGTCCGGGGTAATAATATATCTGTAAAGCGCTTAGGCACATCGTTGGATCGGTGTATTGTTTGAGCGCTATATAAAAAAAACGGATTATTATTAAATATGATAGCAGGCCTATCTCTGTTTTGAAGCGATTGTCATACTCAATTAAGGGACTCATTTCTCAAATCTATCCTGTTACCTCCTCTTTTTATTCTCCTTAGATATTTGGATGGATGCCCCGGTATACCATGCCTAATGGCAGCATGGCCCTACCTGAGAAGGAACGGTGCTACGCCGTGTCTGCCTCTCGAAAGGAGGCTATTTGTGTCATCTCTGTATGGAAGATGCATTTGTACGTATTCAAATACTTCTTATAAACTAAAATAAGAATTATATCAACCTACTTCGAAAAGATGATAGTCTTGCAATACATTGATTTTCCGTACCTTGATTTTAATGTGCTGATATAATGTGCAATTTGCTGAGTCTACGATTGGTTGTCAAAGAGTACACTACCAACCTGATGTATGTTGGTGATTAATGCGATTCTTTCTGAAGGATTTACCAGCATTGGTTAAGTAATCGTTAAATTTGTTGAAAATTGTCCATTTTAAATTGCTGTTGCACATAAGCCGAATTAACCTGGCTCGATATGATGATGCTGGATGAAATGCGGCGAAAATTAAAAAGACATGTTTCTTCTAAAACAGAAAATGATTCATTATAAGCGTTTTTTTGTTGTAATCCCTGCATAGCTTCGCCAGAAATAGCTCCATCTCTGAAAACCAAACTGGTTATCCAGGCGAGAACATCTTCATCTCCTGCGATGCCAGAGGGAAACCACAACCTGTGGTCTCCTTGTTACCGGTCGTAGATCCAGAGTCGACGGCTGAAGTGGGTCTATCACCATCAGCCAGTCAACTAGTCCCATTATCAAACGGAACCGACATTACGTAAGCAGAATGCATAACATAATCGCATAGACTTTCGAAAATTAACAAACCGTCCTTAAACTTGTTTTTACCTAATGAAATGAAACGTAATATACTTAATCCAAACATGATTTCTATTATATATTCAGTAGGGTATTGAAATTCCTTCGAGTTAATTTCTTTTTTTTTTTGCAATCGTGTTTCATATATATTTTATAAAGATGATACATCATGAGAACTGATGAATGCAATCATATAGCCCAGTTACTATACATCATACAGCTCTACAGTACCAAGTATGAGTATGAATGCAATCATATAGCCCAGTTAATATACATCATACAGCTCTATAGTACGAAGTATGAGTATGAATGCAATCATATAGCCCAGTTAATATACATCATACAGCTCTATAGTACGAAGTATGAGTATGAATGCAATCATATAGCCCAGTTAATATACATCATACAACTCTATATTACGAAGTATGAGTATGAATGCAATCATATAGCCCAGTTACTATACATCATGCAGCTCTATAGTACGAAGTATGAGTATGAATGCAATCATATAGCCCAGTTACTATACATCATACTCTATAGTACGAAGTATGAGTTGAATGCAACTATAGCCCGTACTATACATCATACAGCTCTATAGTACGAAGTATCAGTTTGAATGCAACTATAGCCTCGTAACTATACATCATACAGCTCTATAGTACGAAGTATGAGTTTGAATGCAATCATATAGCCCAGTTACTATACATCATACAGCTCTATAGTACGAAGTATGAGTTTGAATGCAATCATATAGCCCAGTTACTATACATCATACTCTATAGTACGAAGTATGAATATGAATGCAATCATATAGCCCAGTTACTATACATCATGCAGCTCTATAGTACGAAGTATCAGTATACGAATTATAGCCCAGTTATGCAGCTCCATGGGACGAAGCATCAGTACGAATGCAATCATATAGCCCAGTTACTATACACCATACTGTATAGTACGAAGTATCAATATTATTCCTGGCTTTAGCCAAGCCGTCACGATAGGGCGTTAAAGCATTCAAGGAGTCTCTTCCTATCGGGCATCCATTTACCTCACCTGGGTGGAGAGAGGCAAATGTAGATTAGTATTGTGACATGTTAATATGATAAATTCTAAAATCTCCCTGGTAGTTCATGACTCTAAATAAAGGTTTTTATTCAAAATGAGATATGATCATATGGTAATGACAATATAGGATTCATCCGTATATAATCGTTAATCCACTGTCGTCAAATAATGAGTGAATGCTTGTTAGTAGCCTACATATATGCAACTTCACCTTCCTCAATTGTTTCCCTTCTGTTCTGACAGATTTACCTGTACTGCTGAAAACCTTGCTGGTACAGCCACTTCAACGGTACAAGTAACAGCACTAGGTATGGTTACATTACGTTTTCCCAGTGACTTACCTACGGAGGGGTAAGGGGAACGTGCCCCCTCCCCCATCGCATGATGACAGAAAACAAAAATAAAGACAAAGGCGAGAAAGAGAGCAATGAATATGGGAAAACGACAAGGAAATTAGACTAAAGGACCCTTCCGAATCCTCCCCCATTCAGTAGCCTTGTTTATTCTCATCTTTGATTTTCCGAGATAGACCGGGTACCCCCTCCCCCATCATGCCAGTGCCCCACAATGCGTGGACCCATGCTACGCTACTTAATTCAAGACTTTATGTCCGACTCAACAGCACACAGCAGAGGTCCGTAGAAAATAACTTAAAACTTGAAACATGAAACATACTACCACTGACATAATTTATATACATTACAAAAAAGGAGAAAATCAATATTATACTGTATCAAAGAGAAACTAGATAAATACATTTACATTGTAAAAAATGTTACACGAACATTGTTTAACAAAATAGGTGTCAGACCAACTTTGAGGCAATTACAGGCCAATCATGGGCAATTTTTACTCAGTTTCTAGGAAAAAGAATCAAGCGTGATTGTCAAAGAAATTGTTACCCAATATGTTTACAGTGTTCCATTTTAACCATTATACGTATACGAATAAATCAAACATGAGATTTATTAATACAGCCTGACCACCTTTGAATAGTATTAAGTAGTATACAGTGTGCAGTATATAGTAATAGTATGCACGTATGTTGAACTGCGCTATTCCGTGGCAGCTGGTGCAAACTTGTGATCTTTTCTATGAATGCATTCTGTCTTTTATCATGAATCCTAGATTACCGATGTCCTGGTTTAGCTGATGCCATTGTGGACTTCCAGCAGAACCAGCTGGCGGAATGTCCATCCGTTCTTCAATTACCGGTTGATGGGGATATTTTCCAGTCTTTTTTTTCACTCAACGTCCTTCAAGACGGCATCTTGCAGTTCTTGCCCCTGGTGTTGTTCATGCCTAACCCAAATCTCCAGGTTCCTTCCGTCATTACGTTCCGGATTACGATCACAACCGAGCCGGTAATAGTAGCAGTGCCCTCGCGTAGAAGACGTGACCTCTTCAAGATTCTGTACGAAAGAGATTATCGCAACGTCACTCTCGACAATGGTGCCATCACTGTAGAATTCTCACCGCCTGTCTTCGTTTCGCAGTCCACACCTCTTTATATCAACCTGCTCACTATAGATAACACACCTCTGAATCTTCCATTTAACGAAGGATTGCAAGGACCGCTCTCATACCTCCAGTGTCCTCTGTCGCCTCCATTGAACCCTACTGACAATGCGTCGTGCTACGATCAGCTGGATATATGGGCCGCCATGGAGGAAGAGTTCGTCGGGTTGGGGTGTGCAGAAGATGCTTCTTTATCATTCCGCACCTCCGAAGCATGCCTACGTATTGGTGATGCCCGTAAGTCAAAATACATTCCCCAAAATATACATCCTGTAGAGTCTCCAATTATTTAAAACCTACATTAATTCAAATTGTTATAATTAATGGACCGCCTGTCGCAAACCTTTGAAGAAATCGTTATTTGCCAAATACAGGTCCTAATTGTACGCCCGATTGGCAAAAGCTTAATGCGCAAACAATAATATGTTCTTTGGATTTGACTAATGCCCTCAGTTTGTATTTTGATTGATTTCAAATTATAATGCATACAATTGTCAGTTCATCGTTGTTCTTCAAATTAGAGTACTTCTTAGTCAAATAATCCGAAGTTGACTGAATCTCGATCAGGCGAATGATCGTAATTTGTAATGCTTCCTATTCCCCCAGCTCTTAAATTTATTATTAAAATGACTGTTTATCCATCTTAAAGTAATCAAAATCCGAAATTCACTTATCTCTAACAATTTCTCATTTTGTCCTCATCTCTCTCGATAGAGCCTGTGGTCACCAATGAAGTGTCCGTTCCCCTTCTGCAGTTTTTCAAAAACTACGATATTCCCTGTCCAATAGAGGGCGCTGTACGTCGCCAATGGTTGCGCATGTCCAGTCGTGGATTGAGAACCCCCTACGAATCCCCGTCGCCGTTTTTACGCTTCCAACCGTTCACCGCTGGTGACATGGGTTATTACCTCTGCGAGGGGTATGGTGGCGGGGCTTACCGCGATGAGACAGTCACAACCGTTCCTGTTCTCCTGACTGTTGAGGGTAAGAAGCAGATGCGGATCCAGATTTCTAAGGGGAGGGGGCCCAACTTTTTTTTTTGCTACCGAAAATTTGAAAATCGCGCCGGCCGAAAAGACGCTCAGTAGGGGGGGGGGGGGGGGGGGTAGTGAGCACATTTTTTTTTTTTGGTCCTCGCAAATTTAAAAATTTACACCCCCCAAAAAGGTAAAAATCACGTGTTTTTACATGTTTTTTTTTCTCAAGGGGTGGGGGGCCCGCCCCCCCCTGAATCCGCCACTTGGGCTACGGGCCCGGCCCCCTAGCAAAATAAAACTTGTAAAAAATGAGATGGTAACTTAATTTGACCTTTTTAAAACAAAAACTAAGGCGGGTTCTGAACCTCCTGGCAAAAAAAAAAAAAAAAAAATCGTTGCAAGAATATTGCGGGAATACATGTAATTAAAGCTAAGTATTCAAAATATTCATGCAAAGGCCCACACTAGTCCCCGGCTGCCTAACAAACTCCTCTACATCTTGTGCTTGTTTATCTGATACACTCTCTCCCTCTCTACCTCTCGCTTAACACACACGCACACAGTTTCGCCCTAATTTCTCTCAATTTCTCATTATCTCTGTTTTAGGAGTGGCAACGATTGCCTTTTCAGTGACGTTCGATATCGACTATATTGACTTTGAGAACTCTGAAATGTTTTCTGAGATTGCTCCCATGTTCAGAGGCCCAGTAAGTGCATTTTCTCATCTTTAAACACCAAATATTCAATTTTCTCGCTTGGCTTGCTCGCCGAAAAGTATGAATTAAGTGTGCTGTAGTTAATGAAACCACACAATGACGTCAATCAACATCATCATTTACAAATAATGAAGAGATTACGCGCTCTTACCCTCTCACGCAAACAATATAGAGCCAAGATCAATTTTTTGCCACTGACCCGGAGCCGCCCCCGCCCCCCAAATTTAGATACGCCACTGAAATGAATCGTCTCGAACTTCAGTAACTGGTGTGCGGTTTGCATGCGACGAGCCATTTAAAAGTGATGTCATTCAAAACGTGTTATTTGAGCAGTACATACACTGCTCTCTGAATTACTGGCGTATGGACTAATTGTCTTTACCACTGTTCACAGGCTTAATTAGCGTAGGTAATAACGCATACGAATCTCGTGCAACGGGTATTATACTTCAAGATCAAGCGCTTTTCTGGAGAGTAAAGACAATTAACAATGAGAAACTTACATTTCACATATTCCTTTTGAGTTGTGTTAATTACGATTACAGTGAGAATCTTGATTGGAAGACATTCTGTAAAGACATACATCAATATGATAATAGTAATAACGACGGTGACAATAATAGTAATAATAGTAGGGTGATCACACTGCCTGTGCACACAGTCTGCCCCATGCACATACACATACACACACACACACACACACACACACACACACACACAGCAGTCAGTTGGTAGAAATAGCAATTTTCGTAAATTTATTTTAAAAAAACTGAACAATATTTTTAATTTTTATTTCACATATCTTTCAAGCATACAATTCTGTGTAGTTTCATTGTTATAGGCATGTGGGAAATACGTTAAATTATTAATTAGAATATTGTCTTTTCAGCCATGTGTGACATGGCCCGCTGATCGCCCATTGACTGTTATTCTGCGTGGTGAAAATGCACTTCAATGTATAAAACTCCCCTACAAAAATGCAATATCCTCATATGTTTCACTGATTAAATCAATTTGTTATTTACACTGAAGGTAGCTACAACTGTACTGGGGTCACCAAACTTTCTTTTTTTTTGAAATTCAGTCCTTGTGGAATGTTATGGCCTGTTGAATTGAATGGTTTCTCGGAAAATCGTCATAAATCCTCAAATCTGACATATTTTTGAAAAAAAACTATACTGTGATGTAGCTGAAAGTCTGCAAATTCTTATCATTTGTTCGGTTTTTCTGAATAATTTGTGAAACATATGAAATAGCTGTAACGGTGATCCATGTAATTTCCATCGCCATATTTTATTGGCATTCCAAAAATATTTGGAATTTAATGTTAATATTTGGTGTAAATTGATCTATAAATATATGTTTTAAAAAATGCCAACAAATGAACAGTTTGACTTTCCTATATATATAATAAGCTGAATGACCTAATTTGCATATTCATAATTTTTTTTCCTTCAAAAATTCCATACCTGTCTGATATACATAGGTTTCATTGATGTATCATGTTCGGTTTTGATTTTGATTACATATGCGCATATTAATTAGACGGACTCATATAGTTTATTTTCACAACTTTTTCATATCTGCAGATTCGCAAAAATGGCAAAAATGACTTATTTTGTTTGCTTCTGTTTTCAAAACGGTAATAGATATATTAATATTTTTGTATTTTTTACCACAAAGATGATATTCTAGTGTCTGATAATTTAATTTATTATTTGTGTCCAAGAAAGTGATGATTAAGTTGTCAACTTTGTCGAATTTTGCCATTTTTTACCAATTTGACCATTTCTGGCAGGTTTTTCGGTAATTTTGCATTGACCGATTTCAATTCTGTTTTTTTTTTTTTTTGAAGCTTTCATAAAGCTTGATCATTTGCAATCATCAAATAACATGTGTTTGTTGTACTTATTTTTGGTGTGCTATACCTAATAATAGGAATGATTGAAAGAAGAAGTAGAAGATGATGATAGTAACAATATGTTAAAATCAAACTTCTCATTCCATTTCAGTTACAGGAGGCCTTTTTTAATGACGACGGCGGTCTGATATCCAGGTCCTTGCTCGATAACATAGAGAGCAACGAGTTCCCCACCATCGTTAACACACGCAACGGCAGCACGGTCGTCGACTACGTCATCAACTTCAACAGCAGCATGTGGAACGACAGCGTGAATACGATTGTGAACGCAACTACATCCCTCCTCGAGTTTTCCCTTGCCCTGCCCTTTGGAGACGGTCAAAGCAGTAGCTCATCCATCGTACCGGGTAGCATCGTCGTGAGCAGTGCATGTACGCAGTTCAAATCGTTTAAAGCGTTTCTCAAGAGGGGATTAACTCAATGCAAATTTGTGAAACATAAATGCCCTAATGGATCTCAGCAGACGTTTAAAATGCAAGAGCATATAAACGTAACTCACCAATAGAGAAACGTTGAACTCCTGATTAAAACTCAATAGAAATTGTCGTCAGATTGCTTTGATTAGAGTAGATAGAATAACAAGAACCAAACTAGTCTAAGCTGATTTGATATTTTACTTCTCAAAATATAAAATAGTAAACATACTGATAGATGGAAAATAATCGGTATCCTTATTGAGGATCAGAATGAGCAAATGAATGACACAAACTTTATCATTAGACTAATATTCATTAATAAACTGGACACATCCAAATAGTAAGGTGTTTGGCCGTTGCACACGAGGCGTAATTTATCTGACGTAGGACTGCGTCAGCAACTGGCACGGCCTTGTGTTTGACGCACGATGTGAGAGTAACATTGTACAAAAAGTGAAGGCAAAATTAGCAGTATTAACAGAATGTTGTATTTCCGGCGTATATGGGCTAATTGCCTTCGAAATGACGACTCGGGTGAAAAGAATGTTGAAATAAGAAATATTGAAGTAGTGTTGGGACACAGCTTACTCCAAAAATAACTGCTGCTGAATGTTCTTTTGAGTTATTCCAACGAATCAGTTTCATCAATTTACCTCAAGTAAATCCAATCAATTTACCTCAAGTAAATCAAATCATTTTGTCCCAAGTAAATGAACCCTTTCTCTTTTTCTGAATGAAATGCTTAGCATCCTGCCTGGAATCGGTAGTCACGGGTACCTTTGGAACCCTGAACTTTCCCGCTACACATCTGGACCAGACCGCTGACAGCCAAGAACGGTGTAGTGAATACAGTAACAACAGTAAGTCGACAATCAGTGATGACTGTATGGGTTAGCCATTGAGGGGGCACTGGTATAATGAGGGGGAGGGGTGGCATCGATCGGCCTTACTTGGTGGATGGCCGACACAGTACGTAACAAGGCCATCGATGAGGGCCTGAAATGGAGTCCTGTCATCCCTTTTTTCATGTGACACCGTACCCATCTAGCTACATCCCTGATAACATCATAAATAGTATCTTGGGATATTTAATGAAATTTCTAAAAATTAAATCTATATAATTTGAAGAAAGCCTCAAGGCATGAGCATATAAGGCGAAGGAGGGGGTTGCAGCCCTTTGAGAATTTTGAAAGGACTAATATTCGTACAGTGATGTGGTGTCTTGGTAGGGGGTGGGTCGGATTCGTCTTAATATAGGTTGTGCATATCATATTCTTTACAATTTTTTGTTCCTGTTCCTTTATTTTCGATTTTCCCTTTTCTTTCTCTCACTTTTCTCATTCGATAAGGTAACTTAGTCACTTAAAGTCATACACACAAATATTTATTAATTGTAGCCCCCCTACCCAGAGCTAGACGGACATGTCGTGGGGATCTCTTGTCGGCAGCTGTCTGGGACGATCCCGTGTTCCTAGATTGCTTTGTGGGAGAAGATACTAATGAGGTTTTAGACAACATTGCTAGGGTAAGATATTAAGTATTTCATTTTCTTAAGATGTAACGCTCTCATTGTATGATTTGCATATAGCCAGATATTTACTACTGAGATGCAGGGTGATTTAGTAGTAGTAGTGTTAAATGAAGCATAAGAGGAAGAAAATAAAGTATAAGGAGGAGGAGGAGGAGGAGGAGAGGAGAAAAAGAAAAGAAGAAGAAGAAGAAGAAGAAGAAGAAGAAGAAGAAGAAGAAGAAGAAGAAGAGAAGAAGAAGAAGAAGAAGAAGAAGAAGAAGAAGAGGAAGAAGAAGAGAAAGCGAGAGAAAGAGAGAGGGGTGGAGTTGAGTGAGAGAGCGAATGGGCGACAAAGATAAAGAGAAAACGAGTATCATCTCTTTATTCTTAAATAGCTATACACCATGGGGTCAACGCTAAAATTCTAGTAAAAAAAGTCGTATGAAATTTCTTATCATATTTGTATAGATTATTTTCTGTCATATTCAGATTTACATACGTTTGTAGCGCGATTATTGGGCTTAAAAATGATGCAGTGTAGTATGCCTTCAGTCCCAATATCGAGCTGCTCATGTCATAGCATTTTGGCATCATCAAAGCCCCAGCAAATGATTATGATTTTCATCGTTTTTCATCAAAAATGAACTTATTTATGTGGCACACGTACTCGAAGTATTCTATGTAATTGAAAAAAAATGGTAAACAGTGGCGAATGAAGGGGGGGGGGGGGGGGTGCACAATTCGTTGCTCTTGCCCCCTTGCCCCTGCCCAACTAGTGGCATACCTTAAGTACACAACAAAAATATCTCCCAACATTATATTTCGGAATTATGCCCTCTTGCAAGATATGAATCAGTTTCTGAGTTATAATGCTTCTATCTAATTACAGGCAGTTGTGACGCCAGAGAATGTGACCGAATATTCTTACGACGTTGCTGAAGCGACCGCAAATGTCGCCGATATCAACGCGGAAGGTCTCCGAGCCATCTCCGATGCTCTGGAGAAAATTGTCAACGTCGGGAACTCATCGACAGAGGTAATAACACAGATTTTTCCATGATCCGACATATCAATTTTTGGCCACATCAAATATGTTGGTTTTTAGGGCTTGCATAGGTTACGATAAGAATGAGATTATGTTAATGGTTATAGGATAAGGGTAAGTTAGGTTTTGTATTTGATCCATGGTCGAAATTAGGAATTCGATTATTAACTGTCAATCAATTGTCGTGGGAACACCATCTTTACGAAATTATTCTCATGATTATTATGAATTATTTTGATCATGACACATTAACAAATGAACGGTTTTAATATCTATACTTCTGAGCTCCCTCAGAGATGTACTTGCAAAGTGGCAAACTGGAGTTAGCTTCTCGGCAACTGCCTCTTTATGATCGCGAAAACCATTCTTACGACCGACTTTGTCTACCAATTAATCTTTATACCATGTTTTGCGACACATCCCACCCCCAATTAAAAAGTAGTATATCAATGGCTGTCCAAATCACTTTAATATGATTAATACTGTGAGGTTTCCAACCAGCGCTAGTGCCCTTTGATGATGTATTTATATTCATACATTTCGGGTTATATAGGAAAAATTAATTAATCAATTGTTTTCTACCAGGTCACCAACAATACCCTCCGGATCGTCGACAACGCTCTCAGTTCTCCCGAAGAGGAGTTCGTTAACGCCGTCGACTTCGAAGCTCCGACGAGGATTCTCGACTTCTTGGAGCAACAGATCACCATCTTCCAGACCCAGGGCGACGGCAACAACCTCACCATCATCGGAAGGAGCGTAGCTGTGGTGGCCCTCCAGCTTCCGAAGGCCAGTCTGATGGAAGGTTTAGGGTTCGCTACCCTGTCATCGCCGGACAGTGAAGAGAAAAGTGACGTGCTCAACGAGCTGAATGAAAATAAAACGATGGTGTACTTCAATCCGGATAACATTCCGAAGACAACAATCGATGCATCCATTGTTTTGCCACCAGATATTCTTGAACTGTTGCCTCCATATTTATTAGGTGCGAAACACTACAAGTTAAAACCCAGACATTAAATACAGTTGCGTAATTAAACTGTATCCAAACTATAGTGTGAACTACAGTCGTGGACTTTAAATTCTGTTTCCTTCAGTTCGATCCAATGAACATTAATGAATCTATTTGTAATCATTTAGAAATATAAGGCTTAGGTTGTAAGCGAGCAGTATTAAAAGAGCGGATACATCTAGCAACACACGTTCCTGTAGTGTTAACTTGTATTTTGATAAGTAAGAGTGATAATGTCAGAACATCAGTAACAATAACAACATCAACATACATCGTACTATGGTGAGAATAAGAGAACTGTATATTTGACCCCCAAAACGTTAGATTGGTCAGTAATTTTGATATCTGAGATAATAGAAAAAACGTGTCACCATTTGATCAATATAAAAATTCACCAGTTAGAATCGCCCGAACACCACTTCTTGACAATCCCTTAAAATCAATTCTTCTCCAATCTTCTCTACCATACAGAAAATGGAACTGTTCCAGTGACTTTCTTCATATTCCAGACCAGTAAGCTCTTCTTAAGTCCAGACCAAGAATACGATCTCGGCGGTGGTCGTCGACTAACGGTCGGCACCCGGGTCATATCAGCGACCGTGGAGGGTGCGGTCATTCAAGGTTTGCCGCAGGGTGGTGAAGTGGAGACAGCCTTCCTTGAACTGAATGTGAGTTCGTTTGATTTATTAAAAAGAACAGCGTCAAGACTGCGAACTTTAATCAGTCTGAAATTATTTATTCTTTGCACAGTCAACACGTCATTTGTATAGTTGAATTTTATGAGATCCAATATGAAATACAATCTCCAATTTCCCTTTCAAATATAAAAACGCAAAGGGCTACGATATTACGCTAATGCAAGTTGCACACGGGGCGTACTTGTTGATACATGTGCCCATCGTCAACCTAAAATAAATGCAAACTAATCAATGACGGCATGTTGCATGATGTTGGTTTTAGGGAACCATAGAGAAACCCAATAACAAAACTTATCTCCTAAAAATTACTGTATATTTTTCAACCCCTTAACAAAAATAATCTTGATCCGCCTCTGTATTGTATGTCTGCTTCGTCCTGCTCCATACAGGTGACTCGAGACAGTGAGGCGGTGGATAACAGGACGTGTGTGTTCTGGGATAAGATTGATCAAGGAGGCCGATGGTCGTCAAAAGGATGTCGACGAGAAGACAACCCCGACATCAATAGGATACGATGTCTTTGTGATCACCTGACAAGCTTTGCCGTTTTACTGGTACATTATTATTTCTTTTCATGTCATTTAGTTTCATTAAACAAAAAACACATATAGGACACATGGAAAATATTTAGAAAAATAGTTAGCTATCTTCCTAAAAGTGTCACTGTGGATATTTCTCGGTATTTAAAAAGCTATCGTATTGTATACAGTGAAATATCGCGGTTATTACTACCCCTTTTACTGTTGTATTTCTCTTCCATATGTGGATTTGGAAGGTGCAGATTTGAAGGCCATTACAGCGGTAAATAATCGAACATTATCTCCACCAGAGAGTGATATTCGATCTTAAAGGGACAGTTGAGTTCTTGCTAAGACCACAAGTGCCTCCATAGTGAATGGTTATTGCTCTTATTCCTATTTATGACATTTCTAGTGCTTTTTTAGGACCTAAAATTGCTATGGAGGTAATTTTAGACGCAAAAAATTATACAATTCAGCTCCACTTTAAAAAAAATACGGTGACTGTTAATTAATTAAGTAATTAATAATAACAATACACGGGACGGCTGGCTGTGGGTATTAAAACCAACACAAGAAAGCCAACAAAATGCCAACATTAGCATCGGCTGGAATAAAACGTATAAGGCGCTATTTCGTTTTTTTCAACGGCTGGTTAAAAATCATCGAATATTTGTGGGGCACCACAAAAAATATTAAAAATGGTTATATTTATGGATATTTTAGCCGTCTCTGAACCGATTTTTGATAAAACGGGGTAGATGTGATCGATGTAAAATATTCAATTTTAAATGGATCATTTTAAGTGATTAACTTTTTCTCTCCGACCCCCGCTTTCTCTCTCTCCCTCTCTCCCTACCTCCCTCCCTCTTCTCACCTCTCTCCCTACCTCTCCCACTCCCTTCTGCAACCCTCTCTCTCTCCCGTCTCCCACCCTCTCCCTCTCTCTCTTCTCTCACCCTCCCCTCTCTCCCTCTTCTGCTTCCTTCGTTATTTTGTAGGATGTATCTGGAGATGTGGGCCTCTACGCTTTAGATGTGTTGGGTATGATCGGCTGTATCATCTCCATCATATGCCTCCTGATTACACTTGTTACCTATCTGAGCATGAAGTAAGTCATCTTTCCTAATATCCCCTCAATAATCAAACGTCAATATGTTACATGTTTGTGTAATCTTTGATTAATTGGAGATCTTGAGAACAGTTTAAAATGGGGTTCGAAGCGGTTTTTTGAACAATAATATTTAAATCAGAGCATTATTTATATCAAATATAAAGTTTCAAAGAGTATTTAACCAATCTGTCGTCATGTAAATGGATAGGAATGAATATAGCTATGACAAAAGATAGGCCTACTATTGCTCAGGAAATGATGATACTTTTGTGGAATAAGTGATTATAATTGATAAAATAAAGTGATAAAATAATTGATTTTCATTAATATCATTATTATCGTAAGCAGGCGCGTACGCAGGGGGGGGGGGGGGTTTGGGGGTTAAACCCCCCCCCTTTGGTATTTTTATGTGTATAAACCCCCCCTAAAAAAACCTAAAACCCCCCCCTTTGTATTTTTTTTATTTTTTTTTTTTTTTTATTATTATTAAAAAAAAAAAAAAAAAAAAAAAAAAAATTATCCCCATGAATGACCTAAAGCAGGTGACCTTACCCCCCTCCCAACGGAGCAAAATGTCAAATTTTCAAATTTCGAGGTCAAAAAAAAAAAAAAAAATCTTACCCCCCCCCCCCCCCCCCCCCCCCCCCCCCCCCCCCCCCCCCCGCTTATTCAGCGGTCGGGTGAGTCGTTGCGATTTTTTGGGGACCAAAAAAAAAAAAAATGAGTCCTCTTACCCCCCCCCCCCCCCCCCCCGCTTATTCAGCGGTCGGGTGAGTCGTTGCGATTTTTTGGGGACCAAAAAAAAAAAAAAATGTGTCCTCTTACCCCCCCCCCCCCCCCCCCCCCCCCCCCCCCCCCCCCGCTTATTCAGCGGTCGGCTGAGTCGTTGCGAAATTTTCGGCCCGATTTATGAATGTTAAAACCCCCCCCTTGAAAAAATCCTGCGTACGCGCCTGATCGTAAGCAAAAATGATGGTAATTCTACAAACACAATTCGGCAGGAATTGACAATAGTACAAGATTTCTTTTTAATTAATGGAGAAAAAAAAAGAAGTAATAGTTGATAGTGGTGACAGAAAGAAGAACTTGTGCTAGTCGAGTCTGGCCCTAAATATCATATACAATTTTTAAGTTGTAAATATTTTGCGACTACAATTGTTACATTTGTAGGTCAAAACCACTTTTGAAAACGCATTATACCATTTCATCAGTATGCAAGAAATAAAATTGATGGATTGGAGGATCTACGTTAATTGGAGGAAATCAGACAGCCCTCTTTTGCTTGATAATCATAATATTTCGCTTGTGAAACTTTTCGAAACTGGACAGAATTCTAGAGCAGCTCCCATAAATATATGTTTAACATCCAGTGGGATTGTTCCCAATCCCCTAAGCTTTACATGGCATAATTCTACAAACTGTAAACGAATATTGATAATCAAATTTGATAATCGAATTTAATCACCCCATTTCAATATAAACAGAAAACTACGCTCGAAGCAACCTCAGCGGATCCTGATCAACCTTTGCTTCGCGCTCCTCGGGCTCTATCTCGTGTTCGTCATCGGTATCGACCGCCGTTACCCGACCGCGGGTTGCGTGGTGGTCGGTTTTCTCATCCATTTCTTTCTGCTGTCGTCGATGTCGTGGATGTTGGTGGAAGCTATCAATATGTACCTCCTCTTTGTCAAGGTCTTAGACGCCACAGTGTCTCATTTTATGGTCAAGGCCGCGATTTTTGCTTATGGTGAGTAATGTGGAGGTGTCGTAGTATAGAGGGTCATTTACTTGACTCGCAATCGAAGGGTTAGAGTTCGAATCCTATCTCAGTATTATTGTCCTGTGGCAATTCACTAACTCATACTTGCCACTCTCCAGTCAGGTGTAAATGAGTACCTGGCAAATGATGGGGGATAACAAGTTAATAATTACACGACCCTCAAGAAGAACAGCATCGACACTGATGAAACTTCCCTGTGTAAACAAAATTATCATTATCATTATCAAATTCTAAAGGAAATGTATCTTAGTGGTCACTGCCCCAGCGAAAATGATCCCTCCCTTATTAGATTAGGGATGTCGGGTTAAAGTTAGAGTTGCAATATCTCTCTAAAAAAAAAATCGAGTGATCACTGACGTCACTCCTCTGGAGAGTGAAAATGTAGTGAAAATAGAGTTAACATTCACTCTTTTCTTAGAGAGCACTCGAAAATCAATCGATATTCACTCCTAAACAAGTGATCCCTGACGTGTCGTCACTCGCAAGAGAGTGAAAATAGAGTGAAAATTCACTCTTTTTTATGGAGAGAGTAGGGTTTTAGGTTACGGTAAATGTTTGTTTTGGGGCTGAAGTTAGGAATAGTCTTACGTTCCATTGTAAGTCATAAGTCCTATGATTTATTATGATTTGGTGAGGTTTACATTGGACCATCACAACCTATTACGTATAAAAGTATGATGAATGTTAAATGATATAGTGTGCTTAATGAACAGGGGCTGATGGGGCTGCATCTCACCTCCCGATAATTTTGAAGAAAAAAAAACCGCGATAATTCTGAAATTGTATCACCTCCGGCAAACGCCGCCTCATTCATATGGGAAGCGTGTTAAGCTATTTGACGAAGAAAAAAAGTTTGCCACTGTAAAAACTTCACAAGTGTCAATTTTTTACGCGCTTGCAAAATTTAGAAATCTTAAAAGAAATCCAGGGGCGGATCTAGCTTTTTGCTAAGGGGGGGGGGTTTGACCAAAATAATGACGATGCAGAGCATCGTCCACGAGCCGCGTAGCGGCGAGCCGATTTTTTTTGGGGTGTTTATTTGAACCCCGTAAGTGATGTTTTCCTGGCATCTATTAACACAATGGAGACCATAAAAAGCAGTGCATGATAACGTCTTTTTAAATCGAGTAACAGCTTAATACACAGTTATATCCAGCCTTTTTATCATGTGTTTGGTTAAGTTACCAGATGAGTTGAATATCTTCTCACAATATTTGCACTTGAAAGGGTTTCTCTCCAGCGTGCGTTCTTTTTTCTTTCTTTTTTTTTTTTTTTTTTCTTTCTTTTTTTCTTTTTTTCTTCTTTTTTTTTGGGCCGCCCAAGGGGGGGGGGGGGGTTTGAACCCCCTAAACCCCCCCCCCCCCTCCCCCGTAGATCCGCGCCTGAAATCAACATTCAGACAGCGGGAAGTCGGGAAATTGGATCCTTTCATCTGCATGTATATTAATTTGTTTACACAAGTCACCGGTTATATTTGTGTCAAGCTTATTTTTAAGTCTTTCTGACATTATATTGCTTTACAGGTTTACCTCTTCTCGTGTGTATCGTAACAGTAGCAGTCGATAGCTCCCTCTACTTGGGAGACGGGACCTAGTAAGTTAAATCTTTAAATTTTCTCATAAATCGTAATTCTGTTCTAAAGGCAAAATCATATTTTTGAAACCCCATATTAAGGGTATCCAAGGTCGCCATTTTGCATTATTCATGGAAACTGTGTCGGCTCGAGTAGTCATGCATTGTATATAAAATTGTTGATGAGTTTTGTTGTTGTTGAAAACCCATATTGACAAGGTCGTTATTTTGCGTCTTTTCATGGAAACTGTGTAGGCCCACGTATTTATTTCAATTTAATGATGAATTGTGATTTATCTGCTTCTTGTTGAGTTATCACTATCACTATCATTATATGTATATTATTATCAATCTGATAAGTCGTCGAGTCATTTTGTAGAAGAGAATAGTACCGTGGTAAGATGGTCTCTCTGTTCTAAAACTTAAATACGGTGTGTTTTTCTCTCTTCGCTAAACAGCTGCTTTGTGAAACCGGGTCCAGCCCTGTATTACGGCGTCTTACTCATCGTCGCTCTCTTACTTGCCGCCAACTTCATCATCTTTGGTATCGTCATGCAACGCTTGTCATGCCGCAAGTCCGTCGCTGCCCACAAGACCAACCAAGCCAGCCGCGGTGAGATGTGGCGACGGGTCCAGAACGCCGTCGCCATCTCTGTCTTGCTCGGTCTGACATGGTTGTTCGGTTTCCTCGCCATCGGTGGTGCCCGACTTGTCTTCAACATCCTCTTCCTCGTGTTAAACTCCCTCCAGGGGTTCTTTGTCTTCCTCATGTTCTGCGTCCGGCAGAAGGAGGTCCGTGAGCAGTGGGTGCGATGGATGCACTGCCACTTCGCTGAGGTCAAGCCCGGTCAGCGTCGCAGCGACGATTTCGTCAAGGCTAAGTACAAGAAGACTGGGTCGCAGGATGGTCGGACGTCCTTGGCGACGTCGAGCAGTCAGGGTATTCAACTGTCAAGTGGAGCGACAGTCAGCACAAATACTACATAGTGACTTCCAGGATATGAATAAATTTAGCATGAATAGCTTGCTAGACCAGCTGGCCAGTGAAAAACATAAGAATAAAAATGGCATTGATAGTAGTACCCTTATATGATCTTTTTAAATTCCATAATTATATTATTAGTGAATAATATGAATTAATTATACAATGTCTCATATCGAGAGCGAAACATAATGTACAGTTAAAAAACGTAAGCAATATTTATTCCTATATTTTTGTCAGGCCTATTATTCAGCCATAAGATTCAAAAGAATCTAAAGGCTTACATGAACGTTAAAGGGATAGTTGAGTTCTGTTGCAGAGGGCGCTACACAAAATATATTTTTGGTGAGATAATGAAAAACCGAGTGTCAAATTTGAAAGAACATAATATTTAAATGACAAAATCATCTTTGTTTAATCAAAATCGGTTCAGAGACGGCTAAAATAAAACGATTTATAATACTTGTGTACCACCACAAATATTAGATATTTCGAAAAATTTGAAAAAAACCGTTGAAAACACGAAATAACGCCTTTTACGTCGTAATTCAGCCAATGCCGATGTTGGCTTTTTTGTTGGCATTTTCGTGTTGCTTATATATTACCCACAATTAGCCGGCTCATGTATTGTTATTTTTAATTAAATAATTCATTAACGGTCACTATGTTTTTTTGAAAGTGGAGCTGAATTGGAATGATCGTATTGGCTAAATTTCACACATTTTGGGGTTTAAAATTACCTTCATAGCAATGTTAGGTTCCAAAAGGCATCTATAAATGTCATAGATAAGAATAAGAGCAATAACCATGCACTTTGAAGGCATTTGCGGTCTGAAAACAGAACTCAACTATCCCTATAACAAACATGAATCTTGCCTGAAACCGCCATCATTTTCATGTATTTAGTTGCATCAACGTTTGGAATTTTATATTAACTGAATAATAATGAATAATGAATAATAAAATCAAACAAAAAATAGCTTTGTTTACAAATTACAAACAAGATGAATGAAAAATATATTCTGCTTTAGCGCTTGATACCAAGAAGAAAACGCAAGTTGATTTGTTCTTTATGAACCACATGTGGAAATAAACTAAACTTTTACTTAAGTATACATCAGGGGTTGTTTGCTGGTTACAGGTTAGTTTATAAAATTGTCAAACTTAATTACCGTGTTTTAGCATTTTTACTTAATAAGCTATCTCTGAAGAATTAAGGAATCGTTCAGATCAGTTTTCCTCAATTTTTATCATTAATAATGGTCTGTTTTCACTCAGAGATTATCTTTAATTTTACATCTTTCATAGAAGTCTCTACCTTAGCAGCATTTTCTCTCATCTGAACAATGTTACCATGTCCCTTTAAGGGAAACCTTGCGTGATTTGCATCTATTGTATAAGGTTATACTTTCCGGGTGTGGTATGCCGGGTTCACCCAGCCAATGCACCGCAAAATTTCTGACTAGAGTTTTCAAATTTGGGAAAGGCACTGCTAAGGAGTCTTCAATGGATTTTAGTATTTGAATGTTCTTCTATGTTCCAAAATTACCCAATTCGAATTCACATTCTTTTACAAAATGCTAAAGGAGAATTCCGTCTGAAGAAAATCTGACAAGTGACAACTATTACGAATGTTATGAATTTTCCAGTGACAGAAGAATGTATGAAAACGATTATCTGATCGAGACAAAGAGGCAACTCTGTTATGAGTTTGTGACATCACTATCTATCACGTAGTTTTAATATTTTAACCATAAATTCCATATATTCCCAAATTGATTTCCTCGTTCCTTTGTTCGTGTTATATTGATATATAATTTGATTGCATTTATCTAACTTTATAGAAAACAAGACATAATGTTTTCAAACTAAAAAGATATACTCAAATGAAATTAAACTTTTATACATTTAAAATTCTGGTATCTATTATAGAGGTTTTTCATAGTACATGTAAAAATTTGTAAAATTATTTTTCTATAAGATATTTGTGTCATTTTATATATTTCTAGAATCTAAATTTATATTTAGAGCATATTTTTATTCTTAGTTTGTGCCTTTCGGTATACTTTTTAGTAGTATGCTGTAATGTATTGTGTATGCGTATTTCCTGAATTTTGATATCATGATGTTAACATTTGTCTGCTGAAATACTTTTACGTAATATTTTAGCTGATGTAACTTCGTCATTTCATGCATTATACCGTAAACTAATTTTGACTTATGCTATTATTATGCAGATTTTAAGGACATTTGCAGGATTTCCGTTGGAATAAAAATCATTTTCCCTTGATTAATTCTTGTCTTTATTTCTCAAGTATTATATTTCCAGGCTGCAAAACTGTTATAACCAACCATGACATATCATGTTATACAACATATTCAAGATTTAAGATAAAATATTGATATCTATAATTAATAGGGCTATTCCCTCTCCCCATTGCTCAATTTTTGTTTCTCTATATCTCCCTCTCTCTCCCTCTTCCTCTCCCCTCTCTCTCTCTCCTTCTCTACCTCTTCCCTCTCTCTCTTTCTCTCTCTATATATCTTCTCTCTCACCGTCTCTCTTTCTTTTGCTCTCTCTCTCTCTCTCTTTCTCTCACTCTATATCTCTCTATCTCTTTTTTTCTTTCTCTCTATTATCTTTCTCACTCTCTCTTTCTCTCTCTCTCCCTTTCTCTCTCTCTGTCTCTTCCCCCTCTCTCTGTCTCTCCTCTCTTTTCGTCCCTCTATATAATTATATAGGCCTACCCTCACTTTCTATCAAGCTCTCTTCCTTTTATGTTGCTTTTTGCTGATTATTATCATTAGATAACTTTAAAAACTCGAAACTGACCTCAAACATACTTGGCATATCAACAGCAACTACTTCATAGAAAGGGTTCTAGGACAATTACCCCCTGGGCAATCACCCCCGGAAAACTACCCCTGAAGGACAATTACCCCCCGCAGAATTACCCCCGAGGACAACTATTCCCATGGACAATTACCCCCAGAGAATTACCCCCCCCCCCGAGGACAATTAACCCCGAGGACAATTACCCCCCCCAGGACAATTAACCCCCGAGGACATCTACCCCAAGGACAATTACCACCCGTGGACAATCAGGATTCAGTAGCAAAAGAGGATCTGACACATTGAGAGATGGCTACGAGCCCATAAGATCCCCTGCATGAACCCATATTCGTTCAAAAACCATAGCCTGTCAGTTCCTCATTACTACACATTTCGCTTTTAATTACAATTTATGCAACGCTACTGCGGTAGCTGATTTCCACGAAGAATGTAAGTTTTAGGTAATTGTCCAGCTCTACTCAAAATGCATAGAAATACATTTCTCTGGAGCAGCGTTATTTCAACTTTTTGTTAGTCACGGTACCCTCTTAAGAAAGTCTCTCCCAAATTCCAAAGTCTTCGCAGACTATTTATTTTGCATGACTCTGGCACTCGTCAAGTGCTATGTAAACACATATGGGCACATTTAAGAATAAAAAAGGGAAAGACGTTTTCCAACTGGTAAAAAATTAGTTTGTAATCAATACACTAGAAACAATTTAAAGTATTGTATGCGGGCACCTTGCCGCCGAATGTACATGAATAAAAAGTGATGTATTCGGTTATGACCTTGATACACGAATATGAGGATATTCGGGCCTCTCGTTGCCCTTATTTATCATGTTTCTAAACGTAATGATTGTGGTAACAATGTAATCTCGAAATAAAAGATATAACACATATTCGGGCGCCTTGCAGTCAAAATACTGTCAGCGAGGAAGGAAGACCCTTTATTTTATTTTTGAATTTTTATTTTTCTCATTTCTATTTTTTTACAAAATCAACGTTTTCCAAATGTAACTAACATTCTCTTGCGGCACCCCGGTTGAAAAACGACGCGCTTGAGTTACAAAATCAAATGAGATGAATTACCAGAGAGCGGATATTTATTTTCTTTTGACATAGCACAGTACATATAACTTGAAGGCATTTTCTATTTCAAAATAATTTAACATACAAGAAAACATATTATACTTTAGCATGACAACAGGAATATAAAAATAACGTGAAGAAAACCTTAATTTAGGATCATGGATGAGAGCCCATTATACATAGAAAGACAAAATTGATACACGATCAGCTGATTAGTAAAAAAGTTACAGAGGATGCATACATGAAATCTTTATTTCTTTGTTGTGCCATTGTTGGTGAGAGAGGCTGTAACGCGTACTCATCTGCGCGCAATGTATTGTTAAATTTCTAAGAAATGTAATTTCTGTTCTTTACTCGGTAGCAAGACTACTTGGGCAACCCCCCCCCCCCCCACATCGAATTGAATAATTTGAAAAGACTGAAATAAACTTCATAACTAACGAAGAAAATGAAATTTTATGAAATTTTCTATAAATAGCAATTTGGAAAGAAGCTCGCATTAAACGTCACATTGTTACCGATTGGGTCGGTCATTGGGGGTAGTTGTCCTCGGGGGGTAATTTTTCTCGGGGGGGGGGGTATATTTCCGCGGGGGCAGTTGTCCTCGGGGGGGGGTAATTGTCCTCTGGGGGTAGTTGTCCTCAGGGGGTAATTGTCGTCGGGGGTAGTTTTCCATGGCTGATTTTCCGGGGGGTAATCGTCTTCTGGTTGTAATTGTCCTCGGGGTGGTTATTCTCCGGGAGGTAACTTCCCAGGGGGTAATTGTCCTTCGGTGGTAGTTTTCCGGAGGGTAATTGCCCAGGGGGTAATTGTCCTGATCCGCATAGAAAGTGTTTTATTTATTTGAATTCATAACAAAAAGTATAACAAGTTTTATCTTTAGCATTGTCCAGTGATCTTTATCATTGTCCAGAAGAAGCCCTGTAAATGATACCAAACTATACCGCCTAATGCGGTATACGGGGATTGGATATGCTGCTATAAACACGGGGTATGAATTTTTGTTTGAAAATCCATGAAAATTGCGCCATTTTAGATCTTGGTATTAAACATGGGTTACTGTTCTCTCCGGAACGATATACCTCTCCGCATGACGTATAGGTCTATATTCTTGCTAGATACCAGATACAAAAATAATTGAATTCCTTTTCTTTTTCTTCAAAGTCCTAATTTCTGCCAATTAGGAAAATGATCCCTAAAATGCGTTATGAGTTTGGAAGCTTCAGCCGCTCGTCAAAACCAATTCTGAGTATCCCCTTCCTCCTTCCCTCCCCTCCGTTAGTTCAAATTCTAATTCAAATTTAAATTCAAGTCTATTGATACAAATCCACAAGGTCGGATATCATCAGACACGAACAACAATACTTTAATGATGGACATAATACATACATTGGTACACAACATACGTTAGCTCAGAATACACCTAACTAATATCAGGTTCATGATTGTAAGTAAATTTAAGG